GCCTCAGGTGGAATGAAGCTTCTGCAGGGCAAGTGTTAACCATTGTTTTTTGAGCTCATGCTGCAGAAAAAGTGTTTCGGGGGATAGAAATATAGTTTTAGGCTGTCAGGAAATGTTCTATCTGGTATACTCTCCTCTGTGCTGTATATACTTGTCGTCTGATTCTTTATTTCTGATTGTTTGTGATTGCATTTTACATTTCATCATCAGTGTTTCATAAGTCACTAAATAAGAAATATGACTACCTATTTGTTGAGCAGTTTACTTCCTTTTACTTAAGCAGATGAACCAAACTGTGTGAAGTAAACAATGCAAGAAGCAGGGTTGTGATATTTATAAATGAGCTTGTGTTTGCAGAGGTCTCTGCAGAATCTTACATAACACCCATGTGCTCCCACATGCTTTACGCTGCACCACGCGGGCCGCGCTCCGCCTCTGTATGCAAAAACAGGGAGTCGGCCTGCTCTGTCTCTTAGTCTCCTGAGCCTACACATCTATTCATCTGCAGTAGAGTGGTATGCATGTCTCTGTAGTATTTTTTAAGTTTTGCATTGTGGCTTGTGCGAAGTATCCCATAAACAGACAGAAACAATTGCCCCAACTGCAATCTGCTTTTTTATGTAGTAGTTCCTTTTTCATATACTAGTTGTTTGTTTATAGATTTCACCTAATCTTACGTCACATAGTGAATCATAATTTCAAGACACTACTTCAATGAACACTCCTAATTTTAACTTTATGTAGAAACTCCAAAGCTTAAAGTCAGTGTCCTTTGCATCCAAGTTATTTCATCAAGATTATTTGATTTTGCCTCAGCCTGAGCCACTGATCAATCATGTTTACTTTATGTGTCTAACAGAAACCAGCCAACATCCTGGTGATGGGGGAGGGTCCAGAGCGAGGCAGGGTTAAGATTGGTAAGTGCAGTGCCCCCTGCAGCATTCAAAGAGTTGCAGCTGTTACATAAAGCTCAGATTTTCTCTTTTAAAGCTACAGCCTCTTCATATGACCTTTGAACATACCTTTTGCTTTTAACAACTCTGTGATCTTAGTCCAAATGGGGTATAGATCCAGAGGCTATCTGCTGTCCTGTCTCTCCAGCCTTGGAGTGTATCTACATAGAGATAGTAGTGTTTGTTAACATATGATCTCTGTCCTTGGTTCACAGCTGACATGGGTTTTGCCAGGCTCTTTAATGCTCCCCTGAAGCCCCTAGCTGATTTGGACCCTGTGGTGGTGACATTTTGGTACAGGGCCCCAGAGCTTCTGCTAGGGGCTCGGCATTACACCAAAGCCATAGGTAAGTGGCAACATCATACGTACAAAGAAAGAAAGAAAGAAAAGCAAAGGATGGCTATTTTATTTTATTTTTCAGTCCATCAGTTATTTTGAATTTATTTTTTGCATGCTATGTGTGTCTTCTTTCATAGTGTTGATACCTTCTTAGAGAATAATCACAGAAATAAAGAAAAAAATGAATGAAAAAGTGTGTCTAAACTTTTGACTGGTAGTGTATAGAGTGTATAGAGTGACTTTGACACAGTACAACCTGTCAGTGAATGTGACCCACATTCCCACTTCTCTTGGAAATCATCTTTCCACATCATCTTTATCACTATTCATTTATCACTTTTTTTAGAAGAATATATTGTTTCAGAAATGGAGCATAACAACTTTGTTCTAGTATGTCCTTTGAGCAACTATGCTACAATTGTTTATACAAACAAGGTTTCAGAAGTAAAGCAGAACTGTTGAGAGCTTATCATACCAAATTTGTGTATATATACATTACAATCTGTATTGTTTATGTTAACTAAGTTATGGTACTTGGTATGCTGCTAGTTCTTCTAATCTTGAGTGAAGCTTAGTCAAAGCTACCCTAGCTATATTACCTACCATGTTTATTGTTATTGTTAATGATTTATTAAAAGTCAGATTAAAACACAACATGGGACTTTAACATATAGAAGTACTTGACCCAAGTACTTCTGTATGTTAGAAGTACTTGTGAATGAGGGTATTGTTAAAGACATGGTCCACCTGAAACATGATGGTGTTTGGGTTTCCCTCTCGGGAGTGTTCACATCTGGCATCTTTTAGATATCTGGGCCATTGGCTGTATCTTCGCTGAGTTGCTGACGTCAGAACCTATCTTCCATTGTCGCCAGGAGGATATTAAGACAAGCAACCCCTTCCACCATGACCAGCTGGACCGCATCTTCAGTGTCATGGGCTTCCCAGCAGGTCAGTATACACTCCTCTGTCCCAAGTCACACTCAGTTGACTGTGTGTTTCGACTGTCCAGAGTTCATTTCACTTGTCCTGAGTGAGACGCACCTGCCTATGACTATCACTCACACACAATCACCCTCCTCCGCACTCCAGATATTTTCTCTGGAAAAATTATTTGCCTCTTATCGGCAAAATGCACCTCCATGTAAACCTGAGAGTGGCTGGGTGTGGGTTTTACTTGGGATTGCAACAGCATCTTTTTCACCAGGTTAAATAACTTTTGCTGCTCTGCACCTTCCACTGTCAGGTTCTCAGAAATCTGAAAATGTGCTTTTTTTTAACATGATGCCTCTCTTCTCTCAGCAGCTAGAACTTTCTATTGTGAGTAGTGCAGAGTAGCAGAGAGTAGGGTCAGGGTTGGGAAGAAGCTCTATCACACATTCAGCTCTGTCCAGTCCCAAACCCTCAAAGAATATTCTATTGTTGTCACTGACCTCCCAGCCTAATATTATTTTAGTGACTCATGTTTTCCTGATCATGTCAAATCACTTGTCCGGCCCATCACCTTCTTGGCCCATGTTAGAAAAGCCAGAATCATTGGTCTCACTAGTAGCATATTAGCTTGGTCAGAGCCAGCATTGCCAGGGTTCCCTAGAGGGTTAGCTTTATGTTCATACAGTTCTATGTTCAAACATTTTTATGTTTTATGATTTTTATCTTTTTTTTTAATGGTTAGAACTTTGTTGTTGGGTTATTATAGTAAAGGTCAAGACTTCATAGGGTTATGCTTAAGAATATGGGGTCATTCCACGCCAAATCTCCGAATGCCCCTGCCTGACCATCTCAGATTTGACTGAAAAAATTATAAAATTTTTACCACATTATACCAAAGAAATGATAGCACCCACCAACATCAAATGGACTGTTTTAGAAAGATTAGATGTCTGTTTTTAACATATCAAAAATTTGTGATGGTGTTCAGCCTTATTTTTGCAAAATGAATTTTTGAACATGTGGTCTCTGCATACATGCAGAGCATTCATGGACTATGAAGGCACTTTCAGAAGCTAAGAAAACACTCTGAATATTTGACACACAGCTTAAACTCAACAAAATTCTTGATTTGATTACTCAACTATTGTAAATATCTCAACTCTTTGAGGAAACTTTCAGATGTTTTGGTGTAACACTCCTGAATTGTATATAGGCGTCCTGTTGTAGTGCTAGAAACATCTGTTTTAGAAATGATGTGTTGTAAAGGTACTCGGCACTAGTTTACGGAAGCCATGAGCAGCAAGTGTAAAAAAAAAATAATAATAATAATTATAATAATAATATATATATATTTTTATTTTCTTTCTTTATTTATTTATTTATATATTTTTTTTAGATAGTATCTCGTTATTTCGAGATATTATCTCGAAAATAACGAGACAATATCAGGAAAAAATTAAAAAATGTTTACACTTGTAAAATGTAATATCTCTAAATAATTACTTATTATCTTGAAATCATGAGATAACAAGGTAATATCTCAAAATAACTAGATCATATCTAAAAAGTAATAATAAATTAATTAAGAAAAATATGTATTATATTATTTTTATTATTATTATTATTTATTTATTTATTTTATGGGGAGTACTATTATTTGACAAGCTTCAAAATAGTTAATAAGCTGAACAGCCATCACCTAGAACTTCACCAAATAACTTGGGATGTTGGAATTTTAAGTATAGCCTTATTATTGCAAAAAAGTCTTATTGTAGTAATAGGTATCTATTATTATAATTTCTGTCATTGAATTGTTGCATGCTATTGTCAGATAAAGACTGGGAGGACATTCGGAAAATGCCAGAGTACCCCACCCTGCAGAAAGACTTCAGGAGGACCACGTAAGTCCCTTTCTTCTCCTCCTCTCTTCCTCACTTTTTTTCTCTTGCACACAAATAATCTCTGAAGGGTTTATACTCACTTGTCAAGCTCTGTTCAGTTGAGTGCTGGTATCCTAACACAGCTCAGACCACAGACCTTCTGTGCCAAACTTAAGCAGTTCGAAGTTTTTATTCAGTTGCCCATTATAGTCTTTGTGGATCAATTAATCACAGCCCTTGTGGTCAGCAGCACTTTGAATTGAAGTAACCTTTAGGTTGAAGTGCACATACACAGCATAGCACAAGCTTTCTGATGTGTTGTCAGGTGTGTCACAGAGCTAGAAGTCATATTATTTTGTTTGTCAGTAACTATAAATTGTAACAAAGTTCCATCAATAGATTCCCAAACCTATTTAACCCATATCCAAATTTTAAACCATGTTGTCTGCCTTTTGGTCCCCATAAAGTAACTTTTTAAACTACTATTCACTCATATACACAAAAAAGCTAGATTAATACTATACATCTGTACGCATGACATGATTACTCTCACTTGTGTTTTCATATGTATCCCCTGCCATTACAGGTATGCCAATAGCAGCCTCATTAAATACATGGAGAAGCATAAAGTTAAAGCGGATAGCAAAGTGTTCCTGCTGGTAAGTGCTGCATACTCTGTCACACATTAAGTAAGATGACTGTATTACATTTTTTTAATCTTTTGTATTACTCAAAATTGACTCCTTTGAGCTTTAAGTCATGTTAGAATGTTGTTTTCTCATCAAAAACATACCTAGAGTTGTGTTTTGTTTCATTCACAAATGTCTGAATAATCCTGCATTACTGGTCTGTCTACAACTCGTAACACTCTGTTCCACCTTATGATGTGGTAGTTTTCAACAACCACCTTTTACTTTTTGTTTAGTAGAGGGTTCAATTTCGGGGATGATATTATCCAAATGATTCTAGTGAAGGCGTATGAAGTTTAAAAACACAGTGGAGCACTTCCTGTATTAACACATGACATCACAAGTTTTAATAGTGTTTTCTGTTTGAGAGAAGAACTCAGCCTAAATACGCAGGATTTGTGTGTTAAACATCTGTGAATTAAACAAAACACAAATCAGGGAATGTTTTTGATGAAAAAACATTATAACATAGATCAGATAATAGTGTACTTTAGGCCCTTTAATTATTATGTAACCCCCTGTGAATAACAATTCACTTCTAAACCTTTACATTTTTTCTTTTTCCTCACTCCCCCATATTTCTCAAGTCTTGACTTGACTCTTCAGTGCCCCAGATAGAGAAGCTACTGCAACAAGAAAGAAAAAAAACTCGTTTTATAAAACTCCTGTTTTACAGATCATGGACATGGCATATAAGTGTGTCAAAGGGATTTGGTTGTTTAAAAAACATTTATGAATCAGTATCTTTCATGCTGTAAATGTAAAAAAATTGTTTCATGCTGATTTTAGTTGTAAGCTCAAAAATTGTGATATGGGGCCCTGATATTGGTAGTTTATATGCGTAAACATTAATTAGTGAATAAGGAGGTCTTATGCATAACATTTGAGCATACTATTAGAAAGGCAAAAGAGAGAGGAGAGGACAGGTGAGAGGAGAGAGGCAGATAAGAGGAGAATGGATAACACTGTTATTGTTGTGCTCAAGCCATCAAACCAGCAGGAAAAAAATAAAACTTGAGCAAAAATTATTTAATAATTGGCTAAGTAAGGTAGTAAATTCAGCTCTCTCAGAGACATTTACCCACTGACCCCATTCAGGAATCAAAAATATATCTCAAATAGACGGTTTATGTGACATTCATGCTGTTTCATCTTAGCTCCAGAAACTGTTGACTATGGACCCCACCAAGAGAATCACATCAGAGCAGGCACTGCAGGACCCCTACTTCCTGGAAGAGCCTCTGCCGACTACTGAGTAAGGCTCCCCCTGTGTCTTTTTCCCAAACATACTGTTGAGTAAGAATTGAAATCATGCTTAGGTCAATGTGTGCAGTGTGTTCGCAGGCTGTCAAATTCCCTACCCAAAACGAGAATTTTTAAATGAAGATGAGCCCGAAGAAAAACCAGAAAAGGTATCTAGCATGTGTGAGAGGTATACCATTTTGTTATTTCAAATGATGTATGTCATTTCTTGTTTTATCAACCTTCTTTATCTCTGTACAAAGTTTTTGACACATCTGATCCAATTATTGTGTTATCTGATTATTCTTGCTATCAGATTTTTACTGATATGCAAGGCAAGTTTTTGAAAAGTTTTGTCTATTTGTTTCCAGGCACAGCACCAGCAGACCACTGCGCAGACACAGGTTTTGCCCCCCCAGCAGGCCCCTTCCCAGAGCGCCCAGACCAACGGCACCGGAGGGACTGCAGTTACCACCTCTTTGCAACATGCTCAAGACCAGGGATTGCCGAACAAGAAGCCACGCATGGGACCAACAGGAGCCTCCTCAGGCACAGGGGTGTTGCAATCTGACTATCAGGTGACTACTGTTGCACTGCCCAGTGCCACGCACATCGACTCTTTTTTTTATTGTTCATCTCTATCTCCTCACCTCTATCTCAATGCTTAGCCCAACTGTACAAATCAACCTCTTTTTCTTAAAGTCAACCCATTTGTCACTGAGGGTGGCTCAAGTACCAGAAATGATCACCAAATAGATAAACAAAAGGACATGAAAGAACAGAATTATATTGTGTTACCTATCTGGAAAATATGATTTCACAGAAGTTACTAACTACTACAGCTATATTTAATTATGTGTTTTATAGAGAACAAAATTAACATCAATAAACAAGCATTATTAAAAATATATTTTTTTATTTCTATATTGTCTGCTACTGTACTATTGTGTATTACACCATTAACTTTAATCATTCCAATTATTTCTCTACTTGTATCTTAGCACTCCAGCTCACGGCTTGGGTACCAAAGCACTATACAAAGCTCGGGGTCCCAGAGCAGCATGTACACATCCTCGCAGCAGAGCTCCCAGTACCAGAGCCATCGGTACTGATGACTCAGCAGAACTGGGGGACTGAATGAAAGCCTACTTCCAACTACAGCTGTCTTCATATGCACATTATTTGACATTGCACCTTTGTCTTAGTATTTATTTTATTTTTAATCTATTTACCTAGTTATTGAGGTTTTTATTTTGTAAATATTGTTATATAGTAGATCCAACTATCACTTCTTCTGCAATTACCCCCTTTTCAAGAAGGGTTTTTAACAGCCAAAAGAGAGAGTGGAGTCAAGATTTTGAAATACTCAAGAACACCTAATCCTTACCTTAACACTTAAAGAAGACATATTATGTTGTTTTTTTTCACTTAACAAAATAACAAACTATAACATACACATAAATATTTCATATTTTGCTGCAATATTGATCTAAAACAACCTAATAATAGAAAAATGGTCTGTTAACTTCCTTTTCAAAGATGGAAGCTAAGAGGCCCTACCTCTTCACAGTGGCATTTCAGTGTAACGTAGCGTATTTTCATTTACATGATTTTATATGTGGAAAAAATGATATATATTTTGAATAAATGCAACTAAGTACTGGTTTGTGGGTTGGGATGGGGGGCATGAAAACACACATTTTCTCAGCACTCAAATGCAGGAATCAATCAAAATACAAAGTGTAGTAAGGTAAATATGATGGAGAACCCTTATGAATTTAATTAATTTACATAATATGTCTCCTTTAACCAACGTTTGTCTTTATCATGTATATATATATTACTTGTTTATAGCATTTAAATGCTTTTAAATATCTGAGTATTTGTCACAGGAACTGACTAGGAACATCTAATAGTGATGCTCTGCTTATGGCTGATGGAGTAGAGCCATTGACTGGAGCTCAGCACCAGCCTTTTTCAGGGAAAAGCTCCACAAAGACCACAGGGTACTGTGGCTCCACCTACTGTTTCAAAGTCATACTTCAGCATCAGTATCATACAAAAGTATTCATTTGTGAAGAGAGTTTATACTCTAGCCAGTGCGGATTGCATGTACTGTACTGTGTACAGACGCAGATTATTGAGTACATTACGTGGTATTTATCATCTTAATCTTAATTGTTCCAATTCTGGCTCCCGCATGCATTTCTGAAGACATATATATATACTGTACAGACGCAGACATAAAGATGTGATAACTGTAAATGCACTGATGCCGCTCAAATTATTTTATTGTTTTCATGGCTTAATGTCTTGCTGTTGTTGAAATAAAATAATATCAGTACAATAAAGGATAAGTCCACGTATGTAAAGAGTTACGGCACACTTTCCCACTTCCCCTCAACTGATTGCGGTGGGTGACTCTTACTCACCAACAAAGTCAGGGATTTTGTAGGATTATAGTCAGGTGTATGATCAACCAGTAATACCAAACAGGTGCTAATGTTCATCAATGTCACATGTAGGTTGGAACACAGTCACGAACTGCAACAGAAAAAGCTTAAAACTGGGTGAGAACAGCCAAAACTCTGCTACCAAGGTGAGGTTGTGGAAGACAGTCTCATGTCACAGGTCATACACCATTTCGAAGCAGACTGGGGTTTCAAGATGTGCTGTTCAAGCTCTTTTGAAGAAGCACAAAGAAACAGGCCCTGCTGAGGATCATAGACACAGTGGTTGGCCCAGGAGACTTATTGCAGCAGATGAAAGGCACATCAAGTTTATTAGCCTTCAGAATCGGAAGCTGCCAGCAGTGCCATCAGCTCAGAACTGGCAGAAGCCAGTGGGGCCCAGGTACACCCAACTACTATCCAGAGAAGTCTGGCCAGAAGTGGTCTTCCAGGAAAAGTTGCAGCCAGAAAGCCATACTTCCGATGTGGAAACGTGGAAAGGCCAAGAAGGCAGTTTGTTCATCAAAGGGCTCTAGAGCAGTACCATGAGTGTCTGCAGGCAACAGTGAAGAATGGTGGAGGTTCCTTAAACATTTGGGGCTGAATTTCTGCAAATGGAGTTGGAGATTTGGTCAGGATTAATGGTATACTCAATGCCAAGAAATACAGGCAGATACTTATCCATCATGCAATACCTTTAGGAGGCGTATGATTGACTCCAATTTATTCTGCAACAGGACAATGACCCCAAACATACTACCAAAGTCATTAAGAACTATCTTGAAGGTAAAGAAGAACAAGACATTCTGGAAGTGATGATATGGCCCCACAGAGACTAGCTCACATCCACAGAAGATCTGTGGTTAGTTCTTCAAGATGTTTGGAACAACCGACCAGTATACCTAGAAGAATTGATGCTCTTTTGAAGGCAAAGAGGATGGTCACACCAAATATTGATTTGATTTAAATTTCTCTTTTGTTCATTCACATTCATTTGTTCAAATGATTAACACTTCCATTTTTTCATACCTGCCTATAACTTTTTCACAGAACTGTGTGTATATATATATATATGTATGTGTTTGTATGTGTATATATAAAATTATTTTTATTCAACCTTCTACAGCTCAAATCTTATTTTATTACAACTACAATGAACAAAAGTCTATCCAGTATTGCAAAGAAACTATGCTCATGACAAACACTGAGCTGAAAAATATATTGTTCCAGTTTTTATATATTGAATGAATTGAATGACAAGTCGTTATAGTAATTATCGTGACAGGCCTAATCTTGGGACCAACCTTAATTGCTCACACGTAATTTTCTCAGTTACCTCCCAGTGCCCAGGACATTGGTAATTTAATTAGCTGTGATTTCTTTGGGCACACACATCAAATTATTATATTTCACAAATAACAAATAAATAATAAAAAAAAATATATATATATATATATATATATATATTTTTTTTTTTTTTTTTTAAAGGAAAAGGATCTACACAGCACAAAGCTTTACATAGCATTATTTATTCATTCCTTAGCACACTTGTTGGGTCCTAATCTACTCACATAACAACAGGCAGACTGACAGAGATGTAGTTACTTTTAGGTGCTAACGGCCTTTCTGATAACCATAAATCACACAGGCACAATTTATATTTGTAGGGTGTGATGTCCTGCCAAAGAACACAAAATTACTATTCACTGCTTAAGTTGAACTTGTTAGGCATCTTCACTGACCAACCACTTTCTTCCTATCCAGCTCATAACTCATGAGGGAGGGTACAGATGTGTAAAAATAACAAGCAGGCGGATACAAAAAGCCTCTTCACAAGGTTTAATGTCACACTAAAAAGCCTGAAAGTGCTCTCCAGCCTGCAGACTCAAGTTTTTTTTAATCAAGCCCCACCACAGCTATACCACACTTTAGTAGCTCAAATTGTCATTATTGTTTTTATCTTTGTGTTCCCCTTTACCCAAAGATCTGACTTTGAACCAACATGTATTTGAAAAGGAATATCAACTTCTGTGCATAATAGTCAGTGTTTCTAATTTTTCCTTCTCTAAAGTGGACATTTGAATCGTTTTAAAAATGTAGATTATTAAATTATTGACTTAGGCATTTCATGTAAACCAAAACTAAAATTTTCACTGTTACCCCATTTAAATGTCTTAAATTAATATAAAAGCACATACTACTACTAGGATTTGATTAATATTACAAATAAAGTAAGGCAAAAATGAACAAGTAGGCCTAATAATGTGCTTCCCCACACTGGTCTTTATCATGATGTAAGTTGGTGTCACAAAATTAATTAGGCTAAATAATTAAATTAAATAAAAACACTCCTATATAACAGGAACAAAGCACTGTTTAGGCCCTCTGGTGGCTTGGGGGAACTATGCACGTGGTTAGTCTGGTAGAAATGACCAATAGGAGAGACTGCAGAGGGTTGCCTAATTTGGGATGCACAAACAAAAAAACAAAACAAAACAAAACAAAAAACTAAGAAAATATAAAAACCCATTAACGTAATATAAGACCTTTTTGCTATTTTGTCAGAGTCTTTTGTTTTGCAGGTGGGTATCATCACAAACCATAACCCGTTCATTTTCACCTCTGAAATGTCCGTCACTGATTTTTTCTTTCTCCCGTCAGACTTTCATCGCACTACAACCATGTACCATCTATGCCATAGACGTATGAGCACAACTTTGGCCAAATGAAAAAAGGAAACAACTTGTTGCTCTCGCGATAGTGTTACGCTCGTACGGCCGCCATATTCTCGGGCAGTATTTTGATTCGTATCTGCAGCAAAGAAAGCAAAAAGAGAGACGTGCAGCCTGGCGAAGGGAGGGGGGCTGTCAAAAAGCTTTTCCACACTGTGGTTCCGTGTGCGTCGGGCCAAAGAGAGCCTTCTCTCCCTGACGTTGTTCCGAGGACACACTAGGCCCGGGGCCTCGGTGTGACCGGATCTTCGCCCCCCTACAGCAGCGGGAGGACTCTCGACTCTTCGTCCGGAGCTCGACTGCGCGCTGAGCGCTGGGAGCTCTAGCGGGAGTGACGGCGGCCCGGGGAGCGGTGGCTGGCAGCGGACACTGAAGTAAGTGTGTTTCACCCTATAGAAGGCGTAATAACGGGTTAATATGACCACAGTGAAACTGAGCTGTGTCGCGTTGTTTTCGGTCATGAAGTGCGTATTAAAGACTTCTTTTAAAAAAAGAAAAAAAACAAAACTTGAGAAGTTCCAAAAGTTTTTGTCGGGGTAGGCTAGCTTAGCTAGCCGACTTTGAGTGTTCCTGTTTTGGCCGAGTTAGCAGTCGCAATAAAGTTGATATCCGCTGTTTTATCCAAACAATTGTCACTCGGTTTTATAAACGTGGAAAGTAGGTAAAAATATATCGTATTTTATTGTCGGGTTGTGTTAACACTAACTGTCTGTTCATGATTGAATATCTCATGTCAAAGCAATAGTCTGCCTTCTACTTTTTCCATTGAAGTCTGTTGAACATTTGTGTCATTTGCACTGGAAACCGCTGCTGTTCTCTTTTATTTTTTCCTACTTTTAAAACATGTGAACATTTAAACAGCTAAATATGCTTAGATTATTGTATATGCTATCCTTCCTCTGTTTTTCTAAATTGCCCTTGCTTAGTCCCAATAATTTGAGACTTATGCATTTCTGCCTATTTTTAATTATAAATTCACAGATGGTCCATCCTAGTCGAATTATGTTTTATAAGTTGATAAACAAGTTTATCAATTTATATGCTGTTACACTATTATAATAATCAGAATCGATTGTTAGTGAGGACTTTTGAACATGTTGTATAGGCTACATCAACTTATGTCTCCTACATAGACTGTATCAGGTAAAAACAGGGTCATTCAGCTGATAAAAAAGAATCTCTCTGAAATGTAAGGTCCAAAGTTAAAATTGTAGTTATGTGTCAGAACCGAAGTTATGCTCCTACTGATTTGTTTATGTCCTAACAATATGATTTGAGTTAAATCCAGTCATGTTTTACACTTTGCCAGAAATGTTTCTGTAAATGTTTTTGCAGGATTCTAGTGACAGTCAAGACTAACCTTTTGGTTCTCAGATTGCATGATGACAGGAAGGAAATAACTAAAGAAAGTTTTGATATGTGGCAGCTTTTTAGTGAAGTAGAAACATTCAGTGTGCTTGACCAGTCAGAAGTTCCAGATTATGGATACTGACAGCTTGGTACTATGTAACTTTTCTGGTGGTGGATTCATCTCTGCTTGTCTGCAGGGAGATGTTACTATTTTGCCTGAAATCTTCTGCAATATGGCATCTATCATGGAGATAAACATGTGGTCTCACCAGGCCAATTTACAGGTCAGATCTGTGGAGAGGCCAACTTACTTGCAGTCAGAAGGCATGTTTTTCAATGACTATTATTAAGCAAAGAAAAAAACACCTGTATTTGAATAAATGGAGGATCGTTTTGAACTGCGTATGAGTTGTAGCTTCTCTGCCTATATGAACTGTTAAATGCATTTAGACAATATGGACGCTGCAAGCAGAAGGAAACCACATATAGACCATGGTGCTTTGCTCCATTTCAGGGCAGCCAGCTTGTAGAAATCATGATGCTTTTGAATATGACAGTAGTGATGGCACTATAGGCTGTTAAGGTTTTTTTTTTTTAGAAAGTTTTTATGTTACTATGTAACTGTTATCAGATATCAGATTTAAATAACAATTTTGGATATTACTGAAGATGGTCAGAGTGCATTTGGAGTTACAGCCTTAAAACTAAAAAAGTTAAGTGAAGTGAGTAGCATGCAACAGCAAGGGCTCTGCATGTTGTACCTCTCACTGCACACTTTCCAGCTACATCACCCCTCCCCCAACTATGAAAGAAAGTCTATACACTACTGTGCATTCATTTCAAAAGGTTGTGTCCATGTGATGGCCCAGAATTCTAAGGAGGCTATAGTTTACTTGGAAATGGCCAGGCCAGACCTATTTGGTAGAATATCCTTGTTGTGCAACTGTCAAAATGTAAATATTTTTCTCCTTGGTTTCGATAATGGGCTCTGTAATTGTTGGACCTTTACCTAAAGCCTTCAAAAGAAACTTTGATAGTGACAAATTCAAAGGACACTATGTTGTAATATTGATCATCAATGTCATCATCAAAAAAAGCATATGTGGAGGTGTATTGTACTTAATTCCCGCTTGCTTTATTAAACCTGTTTACAAGATTTGTTTGCTCAGCACCTTAAAATCACTCTGTTTCAGATTTCCCTGGATTGTGACATCATTGTTAAAAATATGGAGGTCTCCACTCCAGAATTGTTTTTATGCCTATAAATCATAGACTCAGATTGCATTTTTGTCATCAAATCCCATTCATTACAACTGCATGCTTGTATTAGCATGCCAATCACGTTGCTTAAAGTTACCTTTTTATTTTCTTTCATGATTTCCACTTCTTCCAGTAGATGGCGTGCTAACATCAAATCTAGATGAGGGAGTACAGACTAAAAGTATTGTGTTTTCTAAGTTCTAAGAGACACAAAATGCCAAGAATGGTTAAAGCCCAATACCACTACAATTGATGCATAATGTGTTTTTTTTAAAGGTACAATATGTAACTTTCTGGAGGTGGCCTAAAACATGTATGACACAGGTGACACGCCAACATTCGAATCTGCCACAGGACTACATATTATGAAAAATAGCCCTATTATTAGTTTATTCTGTCTTGTTTACGTGTTCATTAATTAATATGATGCATGTTTTTCCAAGTTTTTTTTTACTTCAAGGCCTGAAAAAAATAATATTGAATATGAAAAATTGCCTCGCCTCATAAAACATTTTGGTAAGATGTTTAATCACATGGGCTTCAATTGTCAACAGCAGGATGAGCATTAGCCACAAAATTCCGTGTTTATTGAACTAATCTCTAACAATTTCTGTTCAGCATTTGTGGGTTTCAGTTCAGATATTTGTATAATTCGTAAAAAAAAAAAATAGCAAAATGGCTGTCATAGACCCTTTTTACAGAACAGTCAATAAATCTATTGGCCATATTGGTTGCTATAGGAGTGAGTGATATTGACAATTTATTAATGACAATAATGA